GAGCCCCTCTCATAGTCTCCAGTGAGGGCCTGAAAACAATCAATTTGACTCCATGGCCATGAAAACTGTTTACGTTTCACAAAACAGTTTTATGAAAATGGAATTATTATAATCTCAGCCGTTTTTCAAATATAATTTATGCAGTTTGCAGTGGTGATGCACAAACAGAGCACCATTTCAATCAGGATGAATATTGACAGTTTCAGAAATTATAATCAACATGCAAGGAAAGATGGACAGTTTGGAAGGTTGAGGCTAGACAAACAGCCAGCCTATTGACAGATTGGTAGAACAATTGATAGACAGATAGATGGATTTATCACCAGCATTCTCTCCTTTCCCTAGTGTAGCTGTAATAGATGGCCAGAGTCATGACTGTGACCTGTGTCTGACACCAGTGCTGCAGGAACACACAGACTCTCAGACTGTACTCAATAACGATGCCACTCACCCCTATCTCCATGGCCTCTCTCACCTCCTGGACTGTCTATTGATTTGTGTGTTTGTGTGTAAAACTGAGAGAAAAAGAGGAGATATATATATATATACAGTGAGGGAAAAAAGTATTTGATCCCCTGCTGATTTTGTACTTTTTCCCACTGACAAAGAAATGATCAGTCTATAATTTTAATGGTAGGTTTATTCGAACAGTGAGACAGAATAACTACAAAAAAATCCAGAAAAACGCCTTGCGGGCGCTGCAGGATTTCAGTCCTTCACGGCGTAGTGTGTTACCAATTGTTTTCTTGGTGACTATGGTCCCAGCTGCCTTGAGATCATTGACAAGATCCTCCCGTGTAGTTCTGGGCTGATTCCTCACCGTTCTCATGATCATTGCAACTCCATGAGGTGAGATCTTGCATGGAGCCCCAGGCCGAGGGAGATTGACTGTTCTTTTGTGTTTCTTCCATTTGCGAATAATCGCACCAACTGTTGTCACCTTCTCACCAAGCTGCTTGGCGATGGTCTTGTAGCCCATTCCAGCCTTGTGTAGGTCTACAATCTTGTCCCTGACATCCTTGGAGAGCTCTTTGGTCTTGGCCATGGTGGAGAGTTTGGAATCTGATTGATTGATTGCTTCTGTAGACAGGTGTCTTTTATACAGGTAACAAACTGAGATTAGGAGCACTCCCTTTAAGAGTGTGCTCCTAATCTCACCCCGTTACCTGTATAAAAGACACCTGGGAGCCAGTAATCTTTCTGATTGAGAGGGGGTCAAATACTTATTTCCCTCATTAAAATGCAAATAAATTTATAATATTTTTGACATGCGTTTTTCTGGATTTTTTTGTTGTTATTCTGTCTCTCACTGTTCAAATAAACCTACCATTAAAATTAGCCTGATCATTTCTTTGTCAGTGGGCAAACGTACAAAATCAGCAGGGGGGGGAGAGAGAGAGAGAGGGAGAGAGAGAGAGAGAGAGAGAGAGAGAGAGAGAGAGAGAGAGAGAGAGAGAGAGAGAGAGAGAGAGAGAGAGAGAGAGAGAGGAGAGAGAGAGAGAGAGAGAGAGAAAAAGAGAGTTAATGAGAAAAAGAAAGAAGAATAGAAAGACTGAGGAATACGGAAAGAAAATGAGACAGACAGTCACAGAGAGACAGCGAGAGAAAGACACTTCCTGTTATTTTCAGTTTATGCCAATTCAGTGTTTACTTGACTCTGTGGCTGAGCCCCAGTGACACAGGCACAGACATATAACAACAGCAGTGGAGGCTGCTGAGGGGAGGACGGCTAATAATAAACGGCTGAAATGGAGTCAATGGAATGGTATTAAACATTATTATGAGCCATCCTCCCCTCAGCAGCCTCCACTGAACAGCTATGATGATGTGGTCCTCTGTAGCTCAATTGGTAGAGCATGGCGCTTGTAACGCCAGGGTAGTGGATTCGATCCCCGGGACCACCCATACCTAAAAATGTATGCACGTATGACTGTAAGTCGCTTTGGATAAAAGCGTCTGCTAAATGGCATATTATATTATAAAAATGATACAACACTTTCTGGAGAAATGCTTCACGGCTCAGCCATCCTCAATGGGAGCTTGTACCATCACAGAGAGAAAAGCTTTTGTTTCACACAAGTCTCCAGTCACACACCTTGATAAAACCCCATCTGTGACAGTAATGGGACACTGGAGAGGGTTTCTCAGTGCCCATAAAGTGTGCCGAACACCTATGTGCCGACACACATCTAGGGCTCAGACTGCCCGTTATGAGGCGGGGCGAACGTCAGCTGCTGTCTGCTTTTACTCTCATTTGATGTGCAGAGATTTGGGACTTCATTTTTGATGTCTGGGTGCTCCGGTGTGGCATGTGCTGAGCAGATATGTCACAGAGGGCTTTGCTGCCACGCCGCCCTGAGATGGGCTGTCTTGATGTCTACAGTTATTGGCTTTTTCCTCCCCTTCTGACAACTCCTCAGCTCCAAGCCTGGTGGTATTTGAAGCTCCCTGACCCCACATCCAGCCAGGCTGGAGATAACAGCTGTACTTTGGGGAGACCAGTGAAGGGTAGCTATGCCTCTGAAGATAGCAGACACCTGACAGGAAATGTCACGCTACTTTTACTCAACAAAGTAACAAACACATTTTATACATGGTGTTTGACTGGCAAATAGTGCTAAAACAATAATATATGCACACCTTCAACTATTTCAATATAAAGGCACTAGAAAGTAAATCAATAGCACTTGAGTGTGTATGACACCAGTAAGCCTGCACTAACACTTGAATTAGAAATACGCAGTCACATTTGTATTCATTGTGTATCATCTGCTTTGCAGGGCAGACAAGTTCAGCGATATCGAATAAGAGCATGGAGTTGTAAATGTGCCTCTAATGCTATTCTTGTATGTCGTGACACATACTAAACCACCTCAACTGGAACAGTAATAAATGGGAAATGGGAATCTAATAAACACTGTGGGAAAGCAGGCTGCATGATAGTTGAACCTGCTAAATGTGTCCCCTGAACACAGACATTACCCCTGCTCTTCCTCTGAAAACAAATAAAGGCTGGCTCTCCGTTTGGATCAATGTGGATCAATGGCAGACTCATTCTGTGTGCTCATTCCTATTTCCCAAGGCAGTACGGGCCAAATGACTTGGAGTATGCATCAGCCTCCCTCCTATACCTCTTCTTCTCTCCTCTCGCTCCACAACTCTCCGGTGTTACCTCTGAACAGAGCAGATGAAGAGAGATGCTTTAAAAAAGACAAGCTAATGTTCTTTCCCTCCCTTCTGGGGGTGATATAAATCAACAAATCTATTCATTAATATTCAGAATGGCCTCCACGCGGTGTAAAATAGCCTTGACTGTGTTCCATTTGAGAAAGAGGCCCTCTTTAGAGGCAGGTCCCTCAGATGCTGTATTGAATGAGTTCTGGGGGAGCAGTGTCATTATCATGCATCATTGTGAGAAGTGAGAGGGCAAGCGAGATATCCCTTCGGTGAAACTGAAACAAAAACATTCTTGCCTGCCTGCCATTAGGCTCCTCATTAAATCATTGGTTGTTTGTGCTGGGAAGTGAACATGGTGTCTAGACCACACGGTGTCAAGTGTGACATTTCATTTATGAAAATACATCACACACATAGAGATATTGGCTCCTTAGCATACCTGATACCCATTCACCCTAAGAAAGAAATTAGTAGTTGCAAAGGTAAGCTCATGTTCATGAATAACATTGACCCATGTACAGCGTAGCATTTACAAACATTCTATTAATCCAATAAAAGGCATTGAGACTTTGACCATTCCCGAGGTGTCTGATGCTCAGAGTTATTATAGTAGAATGGTAATGAAGTAAACATGATTATTGGTAGGGAGAGGGAGACGGGGGATGTACAGGGAGTGCCATGCAGAGGCTGGTCTCCTCCTCTCAGAACCAGCTGAACAGTGGAGCGTAGATTGGGTTGGCTCTCTGGAGGGACATGAAAGATGCTTCAGACCTTGAATAGAAATCAAATATGCCTGTCTGTAGCATCGCCACGCCTACCCCCATGAGTACACAGTACCAACACCTACTTAGTAAATCCATCAGTGGATGCAGAAACCCACATCTTGTTTATAGCCAGGCAGGGTCACAGTGAGAGGCATGTCTCCAGCATTTAGACAGACAGCCTGGAGGAGACATACAAGCAGCCAGCAAACAGATGGAGAGAATCAGGAGGGTGTCCTGAGGTGGTCTTTGATGGGAAAAGTTGTTTGCTCAGGTTTTGCATGTTTCACCAAGACAAAATAATATGGTAGTTAGTTATTCCCTCTAACCACATTGTCTACCACCATCATCCCTGAAACAGAGAGAATTAAAACAATAGGCGGTATAGATTTCAGCATCTTTTATCAGAGTAGTTTTTTTGGCAATTTAAATCTCATAGGAGAATGAATCAACCAAAAATAAAACAATTCCAAATTGAAAATCCAATAAGCCCCAGAAATTAATAATGGAAAGCAACAGATACAATGTTAGAGATAAAAACTTTATATATCTCTTATAGGAAAGACAATGCACTGAGTTAATTTCTGTATAAGACACACTGCCACAGAAAAAATCTGAAACCAAACTGGAGTACACATTGCAGGCATTTGTGACCTCACTTCCCGTTCTGCTCTGGCAGAGGAAGGAAGTGACAACGACAATCAGTCTTGTGTTGAAGCGTGAGAAAAGTCGCAATATTCCTCTTTTGACAACAATGACGACAACATCGACACAGTCCAACTCACTGACATGGAGAGAGCTGAACCAACCAGAGTTCTGAATCATCTTCAATAGCCAAGACCATCAACTCTGGAGAACGGTCCTGGTGTTGCATATTTCATAATAAATTACTCTGTAGAGATTTCACTGTATTGTTCGGACAATCTGACTGACTGAACAGGCTGGTTACAAAAAGGCAGTTCTTTTCACCTGCATCTAGGAGGGAGATTTGGCCCAAACCCACACCACTCAAGTCTCTTGTGTATGTGTGTGTGTGTGTGTGTGTGTGTGTGTGGGCTGGGTTCACAGCCTCTCAATGTCCCTGTACTTCTTCCTCAGGATGGAGACCTGGTCCTTGAACAGCACAGGGTCCAGTCTCATCTGGGAGTGCAGCAGAGGCATGTACCCAAACCAGCCGCTGAATGAGTTCATACAGGTCTGTCTCTGGGAAAAGTGGTCTGGGTCGGCCCACCGGGACGTCTTAGAACCCTGTGGACAGACAGAGGAGATATGTCAGTTTAGCACACCAATCACAAAACTCACTGACTCTGCTTCAGTGTAAAAGCAGAAACATATATTGTGAGGAGGATGGTACATTAGAGCTGTGTTGCCTGAAGCAAACAATTTCCCCTTCAAAGATCGCCTAGAAATACACAAATAGGTTGCTGCAAGGAGTTTATCCCAGGGCATTAAGAAAACAGCTCATATCTACTGTATACATACACACAAATCAAACTACATCTAAGAAAGGTTTTATTTTGCTGCCTTTTAACTCCCATTCAACTGATAAAGTGTTGGCCAAAATCTCCAACAAACTTCCTTTTGTTTACAACAAACTTCCCCCCTTTCCTGTGTGATCTTGTGCAGGGCAACACATCTTACAGCACTGACTGCAGTGGAAAAATTGTCCTGGAAAGGGAAAGGGCCTGAAGATACTAGGTGTCGAAAGAGATGCGAGTAAATACACCACTGGTACGCTGCTGTCTACACAATTAAGACAATCATATGGCCGATAGTGCAGAGTCATCGTGCTGCCTGAAGCTGGGCCATCAATCAGACCTGACATGGGCCGGCCCCGGCCCAGCCCGCACACACACACCGAACGGGGATTCACAGAGGGAGACTGTCAGCATGCTGCAACCTCCTCCTCCACCTCTCACTAGATGCTCCTAATTGAACCGGTCTGCAATCCTGCAGTCCCCCCCCTCTCATGGCTGCTCCTCTGGCTGCAATTTTAGGCCCACTTCAGACACCTTGAGATTGGGCCCTGTCCCATGCACTGGATACCTGATATCAGCTTGTGGCTTCTATTGAAAGTTGGCTGTTGGTGAGTGATATATCCTGGGTAAACACATGGTTTCACAGACGGCATCTTCAATGAGCTATGATTTTCAGGACAAACACACGCACCACACACACATACAGTTACCAAAGAAACCTACTGTACCTGCTGCATCATGGTTTCCTTGTACTGCTTCTTCTGGGTGACTTTGATTGGTGGGAGCTTAGTGACAGCGGAAACCAGGAAGTTCATGAGGATGTCCTCACAGTTGGCCATCTGGTCCACCATGGTGAGAAGGTTGGTTGGCAAGTAGTGAGTGTACAGGTAGTGATAATACCTAGAAACACAGAGGAAGAGAGATGGAACCATGAATTAAAAAAATGTCATGACGGGCCTTACGGAAACAGAAAATGTGTTGGTCAACTTTCCAAATGTCGACTAAATGAAATAATTTAGACAAAGTGGGATCTTTTTGTGTCTGTGAAATAAACGATGCTTGAAATGTCGGTGGAAACGCTTTTATGCGCAAGTATTGATATAATATCATATCGAAGTAAACTTGGAGTCATGCGATAATATGTTGAGTGGTCCTCCCACTACGACTCGTCGGGAAAGCATGCAGTTTATTAGGCTACAGATTAAATAGGTTAATAAGGTGATGAGCTTGATGGTCCTTTCAATAAATATCGAGGGTCTTATTCTGGTGACATGATCATCGATGCTTGGCTGCCGTTTGACAAAGAAAAATAATCTTGCTCTTTTGTCCATAATAATCTCATCATGTAGGCTATACCCGCACTGTATCTGCCAGCTGTTGGCTAAAGCACATGTGCCAATACCAGAGTGGGCATACTCGCTATATAACGCAAATGTCTTTGTGAGAAAACTGTCAGTAGAGTTTTATTGAATTTTTAAAACATACAACTACCTGCAGTGAAGCCACTCAACATTACATTACATTTAGTCATCCAGCAGACACTCCCATCCAGAGCGATCCACAGGAGCAACCAGGGTCAAGCGCCCCGCCCAAGGGCACAAGGACAGATCCCCCACCCATTTGAATCGGGGACCCGAACCAGCGATCTCTCGGCCACTGAGCAGGGGGACCTTGCTTGCGCTGCAGGATTTCAGTCCTTCACGGCGTAGTGTGTTACCAATTGTTTTCTTGACTATGGTCCCAGCTGCCTTGAGATCATTGACAAGATCCTCCCGTGTAGTTCTGGGCTGATTCCTCACCGTTCTCATGATCATTGCAACTCCACGAGGTGAGATCTTGCATGGAGCCCCAGGCCGAGGGAGATTGACAGTCTTTTGTGTTTCTTCCATTTGCAAATAATCGCACCAACTGTTGTCACCTTCTCACCAAGCTGCTTGGCGATGGTCTTGTAGCCCATTCCAGCCTTGTGTAGGTCTACAATCTTGTCCCTGACATCCTTGGAGAGCTCTTTGGTCTTGGCCATGGTGGAGAGTTTGGAATCTGATTGATTGATTGCTTCTGTGGACAGGTGTCTTTTATACAGGTAACAAGCTGAGATTAGGAGCTCTCCCTTTAAGAGTGTGCTCCTAATCTCAGCTCGTTACCTGTATAAAAGACACCTGGGAGGCAGAAACCTTTCTGATTGAGAGGGGGTCAAATACTTATTTCCCTCATTAAAATGCAAATCAACTTATAACATTTTTGACATGCGTTTTTCTGGGTTTTTGTTGTTGTTATTCTGTCTCTCACTGTTCAAATAAACCTACCATTAAAATTATAGACTGATCATTTCTTTGTCAGTGGACAAACGTACAAAATCAGCAGGGGATCAAATACTTTTTTCCCTCAATGTATTTACATGTGTGTATGTGTCTGCATGTATGGATATGTACGCGCTTACAAGCGCTTGCGTGGCATCAGCCTCAGGCAAACAGGCATTGGATGTAACAATGTCTTAGTGTCAATTCAACTTTTTGGTTTTGTTTATTTTGGACTTTTATCTCTGACCTTCATTCTACCCCCCCAGCCAGCAACTTCACTCCCACTTGTCTCCAGTTCCACATCCCAACCCTCAGCTTCGCTCAGCCCATCCCACCTATCTCTGCTGGCCACCCTCTTCGGATTTCTACACACCATATATCTTTCAACTATGCTGTGATGTTTAACATACAATTAGAATCTATCTAATCGAATAGAATCCACAGATTGCGAGTTGAAGATAAATACTTTTACTAAGAGTATTAGTATATTAGTAATTGACTGACCAGGTCTCTCCAAAATCTCCCAACAATGCTATTTCTAGGGTCAAGTTTAGATTAATGTTATGCTTTTTCAGCCAATCCTGAACCTGAGACCAGAAACATGCTACCTGAGGGCAATACCAGAATAAATGGTCTATTGATTCTGTATCCTCACAACAAAATGTGCAGAGCTGCGATGGTTGTATGCCCCAAATATTCAACATTTTGTTGGTGGCAAGAATTCTGTACGATATTTTAGTTGAAAAGCAAGTCTTGAATCTTGCGTCATTTTATACTGTATATCAACATACACCCTTTTTACTTGTATTTTTTATTCGGTACTTGAAAATGTAAACGCAAAAGGTATTTTTATGTGCACTACGTCATCACGCACAGCCTTTTATCCGCAACAAATCAATTTGATGGAAACACCTCTGGTGGGAAAATGCGGATATGCGGATTTTAGAATATTCGCATGAAAATCATTCGTTAATTGGATGGAAACCTAGCTATAGACATACTGCATAGTATAATATTAATGCACAATATTGCAAATGGAAAATGGGCAGTGACTAACAGGAAATCAAATCTCCTTAATTCCATTCTCAGTGCCATTTCCTGAATGTTCACCATTTCTCTGGATAGTGCTCGTTGTTGTTTTCTATTCACTGAGTCACAGAATATGGGTGGCAATCTGTCTGGTGGATCCGTCTGGCAGAATGAGGGGAGTTAACCACCCCAGCCAGCCCTTATAAGAGCCACCCTCTCCAGCGACCTCATCCACCCGCCTGACAACACCCAGAGACTGATGTTTTAATTTCTCAGAGTGAGATACTTCTCCCCTCTCTTTCTTGCGGCCCTGATTGTGCCATGTCTCATTTCCCATGTGTTTATTAAGTTGGGGGCCCTGGCTGTATGGCTGACAAAGGATCAACTGCATTACTTCTTGTCTGTGGTGACACATGGGCTTCAGTCAGTTAGGAGGTCACTCTGTTTAGATCCAGAGACTTCAGACTCATGCCTCATCTCCCTCAAGAAGACGACTTCCTGTTTTCTTTTTTCCCCCCCCTCTCCTCCTCCTCCTCCTCCTCCTCCTCGGGAGCCCCGCTAGGCTCTTGGCCTCTGCAGCATCAGCGCCTTGCCCAGCGGTACATCACTGTCAGCCTAGTGAAGGTGAGGTGTCACAGCCAAGGTCTGCCGTCAGCACCGTTTGTCTGTCACATCCATGCAGGAAAGATGAGCACAAGGACCTTCCTTTGAGACAAACTGTGAGCCCAGGCCTCTCTCTCTATGCCAAGCTATTGATCTATGTGATGTTGTTGTCAATCATCTTGTTAACGTTGTCATTTTTCTGATCTGAATATCACAGTCAGGCAGAGTGTGATATTCATCTTTGTTCATGTTGATATCTTTGGATCGGAAAAGTAGCAATCTAATTAATGACACTGATTTGTTAATTGCGCAGATCTGATAGAATTGTTCTACACTTTCTCCTGGTGACTATCTGGTAGAAACACTTGTCTCTTGATTATTAGCGCAATGCCTCAGTAGACAGCCCGTTGAGAGCCTTGAGTCCTGAATAATAGAGGCATTTTGAAACCATACAATAGAACAATGAAAAATGACTAGGAGAGCTGTTTATCTGCAACTGCCCGGAAAGACATTACTTCAAATCTCTCATGAGAGGAAAATACTTCCTAATTCAATTTGCTGCATGGCTTAATACTTTGTATTCATTTTGATGATGCATTGCATTTCACAATCAAATCTTTCACGAAAAAAGGAAGGAAAAAACATAATACTTTATTTCCTTCTCTATTACGCTTATATACAACAAATGTCAGTGGTGTGGGGAATTCAGATGAGTTTTCTCAATGGCACTTACTGTACTGAAGGAAGTAGACTACTCCTGAATAAAACATAATATGTGAACCAGTATTGCAGTCTGTCTGTGACAGCATGTGCTGCTGGTACAGAACAATACAAACCTGATCACACCCATCCGCGATAAGAGTAAGTGACAAGTGCAGGAGAAAGAACTCACAGAGTTGCTGCTACACAGTGGGAGGATGTTAACCGGCCACAATATGTCTTAGGGCTTTTTATAGTCACGTCGCCTGCCTGCATGTATGTGCTCAAAGTCAATGATGTGTTACCGCTTGGACAGTTTTCCTCCCTGCCATCTGCATCCCCTCCCTGAGCTAATATCATGGCCCCTACACCCCTCACAGAGAGCAGGCAGGGGCACTGACTGTACCTGTGATAGAATGCAGCCCCTGTGAGCACCATGGAGTACTCGTTAGTCCATTTGGAGGTGTAGCCCCATCTTGATTTGCTGCCATCCCAGTAATGGCTGCGTGCTGGGTAGCCCACAATTCTGTCTGGGAAACTGTGCCAGACAATGAAGGCAAAGTCAACCTGCGGTTCAGAGGAAAATAAAACATCTTAGAAAATCCCTTATAGACAGATTTACTTATGCATTAGATGAGCAATATCAACTGCAGTACAATGTAGCAAAAGAGTAGATTGAATTCCAAAGTTATTCTTCAGGTACATATGTCAAAAGACTAGCAGTCACTCAGGTCAAGAGAATATGAAGAACACCACATAGTAGAATACTGTATAATACACACACTGACTCTACCTTGCTGTTGGCACAGTGGGACATTCATTTCCAAAATGCTACAGAGAGCAGAACCTAAAAAATGGATAGTCCCTTAAAATAACCAAACACCTCTCAGCCTCTGTCATGATGTGTGCGCATAATTATGAAGGAATGAGACCACAAATCTCAGGAAAAGGTTGGAAACATCTCTCTTAATGTAGCCTTTGATTAATCGCTGTGTTAGCCATTACCTCAGCACAGGATTTATGATATCATGCAAATAATTTGCCTTCAGGAATTACGCTCCTATAATGCCCTGATTGTGCCTCGCATCATTTGTGACAGACTGTGATTTGGCCCATTCATAACGTGTCTTAGTTAATTATGGATTGAAAATAGGGAGGAAGAAAAATGACAAGCGCAGAGGGAGAATGCTATGCATGCAGAAAGCCTTTCCAAGGGCAACATACATTGATCCCATTTAATAAATAAGATGGTTTCTGAATATGGGTTCCGAGGAGTCTACAAACTGATCCATCACAAATCTCTACTGGCATATAATTTACCTGTGCCATTTGATGTGATATGTTATTAAACAATAGAAAAGTATAGTCGTATAGGAAAGACAGACTTTCAGCATTTGGTTTCCAGCAGGTACAGTAGTATGTCTTCTCTGATCTGAGCTGAAGGAAAGTCAACATCAGGCATTGAGAGATCTTGTTAAATGACCAAGATCATGTCCTTGTGTATGGTCCATGCAGTCATATCTACCCTTGATATGATATTCCACTGGATCCCTGGAGAACTTTTGACAAGCTGACTGTTTTACGGTTTTCTGTGCCCTGCTCTCTCATGGGCAGCCAGACAGTGTCATGATAGGAACATTCATATTCCACACCGTATCCTCTCTTAAAGCTTAATCATGTGATTAATGAGTTGAAACAATGCAATTATGAATTCTGTCCAGTCACTGTTCCATGTAGTTATTGTAATATGAAAAGTCCCATTAAAAGTGTTCTACTCGCTCACATTTCAGTTCCTTTCAATTAAAATGATTTCAATGTTTAAAGGGCAATTACTGAGACAGATTATTAAGCAGATGAGGGATTTGCTGTGACTGGTTTTTGGAATCTTTGACACACATCTGTAGGCTCTCCCTTTTTTCCCCTGAAATATCCTCATCAAACTTTTGTAACATTAGTTCTTTAATCTTGTACCACTATAGAATGTAAGTGGATCCTCTTGCAAGGCAGAGGTGAAATTGACTTGCTGCAATTAACAAAATATCAAATAGATGAATAACACATTGCAGGTCTCTTATACGCTGAGAGACTCACACTAAGGATGGGGTCTTCACTCACTGAAATCTTAAGGGAGCTTCAAATTTGGATAACTGTGGTCTGAAAGGTGAATATTGGCTATAAACCCGTTACCTTTCACCTGCATGAAACGTCTTCATTAAAGCCTTGTTGTGTCTCTAACTTAATGCTAGATTTTCCTACTAGCACTGACTTTGCTGATAACTACTTTAATTAGGGAAAATGTACTTGCTGCGACTGTGATTTGTGGTTGTCTCACCCAGTTATCTTAAGATGAATGCACTAATTGTAAGTCGCTCTGGATAGGAGTGTCTGCTAAATGACTAAAATGTAAATGTAAAAATGTTAACGGTCTTAGATGTTCTCATTCTTAATGCAGGTAATGGATGGGGTGAATTAGACCAAAAAGAGAAACATAGCCTACTGTGTCTGTCTGTCTGTGTCCATCATGCGTCAAAAAGGTATGAGGCAAATACATGTGGAACATAATCATTACACTGACATGTCGGTCAGTTTTGAAGTTTTACATTTCCCAAAGCAGAACCTTTTCTTACTGTGATTTACAGCAGAAATGTTATTGATTCACACTGAAGCAATACAACATGTGCTTAGAATGGAGAGCAGCAGGTGCAGAAAACAACTATGGTGACTCAACCACCAAGACTCTAATTTGATGCAGAAAACAATGGATTTCCTAATGAGCTTGATTTAACAAGTTCAATATTTGGAACAAGATAAACCACTCCAAATCCAACTTGTACATTGTGTCAGACACTAACAACATCAACATTTCCAAGGGCTGAGCCAAAATAATTCAGCACACGTTTTAAACTTTGATTAAAAAAGAGCAAACATAATCTTCACACAGAGGCAACTCCTGCTTTGGTTCATTGAGTGATTTCTTTTTACAACTGCCAGCAAAATGAGCCACTAGAGCTTTTCCCTTTCCAAGACGTGAAGCTTAATCAAACTGTGACTTCATGGTTTGACAGTCTAATGATCTTCGCAGAGACTAGCATGCCGGAGAGGTAATATGTTTCACAAACCTTCTGATTGCTTGAAACAACTTGGGCATTCATTAGTTTCTCATTCCAGGCCAGATAGTGAATACTTGTTTTTTGAATTGGCACCATGGTCACCGAATTTGCATTTCACAGCATGGGAAGATCCTTTCGCTAACTACATCCAGATAATGAAAGCATCGGGAGGAAAAGGCCCTCGTTTGAGATGTTTGGCAGAGTTTCCAGCCAGTGAAGCAATAACAAGACTTAACAGGAATCTTAAATACAACAAATGGTTTCTTTTAGAGGGGCAATCAATCCGTCCCGACCACGAGAAGTGAATTAGTTATTACGCTATGCTTGACAAATGAACTCCATTGGGGTTTTCCAATGCAGGGCTTTCTCTTATGGACAAGGGGTGTTGAAATGACCTCATCAATATTAACCTACAATGTAACATACACAGGGGAAGAGACACTTGGAGACAGATACCAGACCATTTCACTGATACTGTTTAATAGAGAAACACAGGGGTGGAATTTATCAGATGAGGCAAGACGTCCCTGTGGTTCAACAGGCTGAGAGATGTATTAGTTAGAGAGGATGGATTTCTCTCTACCGTGAATGATTAGTGTGAAGTGTGTCCACCTGGACCACACACTTGATCTACTAATATAACCTGTCACCTTGCTTCACCTCCCTCTGTCTTGACTGATTTCTTCTACAGTAGCTCATGATACCAGTGACTTTCTCTGTAGAGTGCGGCCTGGGCCTCAGTGCCAGTTTAAACATTAGACCAGAGCAGTTATTTTGAAATACCCAACTTTTAGTTACTCCATTAGGCTGTTCTCTAACGGAGTAACATTAATGGGAATGAGCAATTAAAAAGAGCTTTAGCGCTTTGCTGATTCTGCAATGTGCAAATATTATACAGGGACTAATTGAATAGAAGAAATTAGAATTAACAGGAACAAAATGCAGGCACAGACAAGGAGCATAGCATAGCAACAAGGGCAGCGACACGGCTCTCTGCATAACAACAGACTACAAACAAAACATTGAGTTGCTTTGAAGATGAAGGAAGTCAGTTGGTGTCAATCTCCACACCCCTGGGAGAGGGAATACTTTCAAGAAACTGTCTGGAAGTTCTGTCACTTCTTCAGTTGCTGCTAAATCTCACCAGTTGGTGCCGTTGTTGATGTCAATGTCAGATAAAAGAGACAGGAAACGCTGTAGCTGATCATCCAATGTTAATTGTTGGCTTATTTCCACACAGACTTGGGACTCCAGCTCTCTGTTTGAACCTGCCTAGTTCTTTTTCCCATGATCAAATTAAATCAGAGAATGTTTTTGGGTACTATACAATTCTGCTTCTACTACCAGGTAGACTCCCCTCATAGGTATTTTCCAGTTCTCACAATAAGAAGTGTGGAGGGGCAAGACACTACATAAACATTGCTAGATGAGTGTTGATTGATTCTGGTCTTTGAACTTTAAAGCCTTAGGTAGACAGAGAGGGAATAATAAGTCTTCCTCCTACCTCATTGGTCGACAAGACGGAGTCCTCGTCCAGACTGAGGACAGCATCTGTGAGGATGACGTCATGGGGGAAAAAGCGACTGCTCATCGTCTGGGGGGGGGGGGGGGGGGAAGAGAGAGAGAGAGAGAGAGAGAGAGAGAGAGAGAGAGAGAGAGAGAGAGAGAGAGAGAGAGAGAGAGAGATGTGGTCAATGGCTGCCATCGCTCAATCAAACTCCAACAATCCATCCATTGGCTCTGGTGTCAGCACCTCTGACTGTGTGTGGGGACCTATTCAATCACAAGTATTTCAGGTATCTTTAAATGGGCTCATCCAGAAATAGCAAGAGAGGGGTCACCTTTTCATGTTGGATAAAAAGATGGACAAATTATTTAATCCCTTCATCCTGACGCACCCAGAGAGTAACCTTAATCTTCTTCTTAGTGTTTGAAACATTATTCAATTTCTTTAGCCCTCCCTAACAATCCATAGAAGGACAATCTTTGTCATATTATTGAAGGACTTTTCATTTTAAGGAGAAAATATTGTTCTGATTATTGGATGAAAAACCTTCTTCTGTGGAGTATGTGGGTGAAGGCCAATTATATATAAAAAACACCACAATGGCATGGCAGTATCTTCTGTCCAAAGCCCCACTTCACAATAACACTTGTGCTTACTAATACAGTGCAATTACAGTGTAGGCACACAATGAAAACATTTATTTGCAATAATGACATTATTAATAAAATGCGTCAAATCTATATCTCCAATATTATTGTCTGTGGGCATTTCATTTCGAGGACATTTTGAAGGTGTTTCTATTGGAAACGACTGATGGGCTGTTTCTCTCTCTGCAGCCAGCGCTATTGGTAGTTTGCCTGCTGCACAGTATGTCCTATAATATTAGGGAGCACACACACATGGCAGAAGTGAACTGTCAGCAGTGGCCTCCTGAGAGGGATGTCAGGGTAATCCCCTTCACTATCGCTCTCTCTGGGAGGCTGCCAGCCAGTGTGGTATGGTGCATCCTCACTAAAACTCCCCCTGCCTGCCTGTCTGTCTGTCTGTCTGTCTGTCTGTCTGTCTACCGCCCTGCAATGCTCTTGACACCAAGTTTATGGGGTTAAGGTAGCTGCTGTATAATCCATCCCTCCCTCTCTCCTCCTCAACCTCACTGGCTGCTGCCTCATTCCTCAAAAGTTATCGAAAATAACCTGTTGACTTG